AAGCAAGTTTGTAACTCAATAAAATAGGAGTACAAGAATAAAAATATACAATAACTATAAATGAAACACCCTGCATTTCCTTCCTGTATAAGACTCACTCATGCAGCCTCTTTATTTCTAATTTTTGTCTGATTTTTGCCTTCACTACTCAGTTTTTTTTCTAACCTTCTGATAGTCAATTCATAATGTATTACTTGGCTGTTCTATAAATGAAAAAGACATTCTTGGATATGAAGAAGAAAACTAGTTTATTTCATTAAATGAAGAAAGTTTCATTTGGGGAAAAAGTAACTATGTTCTAAATATAATGTATTTAAAACTGTATAAAGAAGGGGCTTAAATGCTATATTGAATAAGAATGAGCATCCTTCTTTCTCTTCCAGATTTTAGGTGAAATATTATTTTTCACACTGAGACGTGTTCTGTCTATCAGTAATTTTGTCTAGAGTATAATCACAAAGGTATGTTGAATGTAGTAAAATGCTTCTCTGCATTTATAGAAAAAATGTTTCCAGGATTTTAGAGCACATTACATTTTTAGGAAAAAATAACTTACCCACATCTGTAAAAGTTTGCTTACTTTAGGCATTTTCCTAATGTTCTTTAGTCTGATGAAATATTTTCTACTCAAAAATCATAGCTTTCAATGTTTTCCCTCACTTCTTTAATAAAGTCTACTGTCACCTTCTCTACTGTGGTGTTATTGCATTGAAAACAGCAGTTCAGCACAGTAGTATCATTTACCTTTAAGTTGGACTGTCAGATTCAAGGAGTTTCAAATCATGAAATCTGATTTTGTAACTATATTTAAGTGTCAATCAGATGAAAAAGACATGGAAGTAGAACAATGTACTGAGTAAATGCCTCAGTGGGTGACATTTTCTTTATGAGCAAAATTTCTCTTCAGGCTCAAGAAAACTGAAATGATAACAAGGGAATTCTTAGGAATTTCCTTTTGTTGATAAGAGTATTAAGAGTCTAAGAGATGAGTTCTTTGATAAAACATAAATTATGATCCTGGATTATTAACTAGGTTTAATTTAGTTCTGCCAATTATACATCAAGGATAATAGAGGGTACCCTTAATTCTCTCAGGTCTTTTGCCATCTGACTACTGAGGTGGTGTATTTTATAGTGGTTGTATGTTACATTTTGATAAATAAAAATTGAAAAAAGTCTTTGTATTTCCATGAAAAGTAGAGTTTTAATATGGAAAATTAAAGGCTTAAGAAACTGCTGGCAAATAACAAGATAGAAGGAACAGAGGAGGGCCGCTAGCATTTCAGATGTAATGGAGTTCAGAAATCTCTGATATCTAAGGCCTCAGCCTCAACTACTTCACATTTCAATGGGTAAAATCTTGCCTCATGTAAAGCCCTGTAGCCTCCTCAGCAAAGTCAGAGTAAGCCACACATCCCAATCCTTTCATTCTGGAACAAGAGTTTTCCATCCAATATGCCAGTCATTTGGCTCAGGGATCTCTGAGTTTCCTGGCTTCTAGATCTTTTTAAAATCAGGTCAGAATAGAAGGAAGAGTTGAGATGTGTGTGAGATTCCAATAAGAAATTTATAAAAACAGAATCCCACAGAGACTTTTATCAATCTAATCCAAATACCCATTAGTTTTTTTCTTCTTCATCTATAAAATATAGATTAATTCCATTCGCTTTATTTTCAATACACTTATGAAAGTATGCTGAAGATAATATTGTTTTCATCACACATATTTTTATAATTATCCTATTTCCCCCTATTGCTTCTAAAAACAAGAATACTAAGAATATTTCCTGGAACACTCTTTGATCTCTTTATAAATCCTGATACTTTATAGAGAATGACACAAAACACAAATCACTACGTATCAGAGCATATGGCATTAATTTCAATCTCCTTGTTACTCATTGGTTTTATCAGTGTATTATTCATAGTGTTTGGTTGTTTTATAAATTAAATTATCTTGTGTATCCCATTGATTTCAGCGGTGAAGAAAAATCATACTAAGGTGATTTGCAGTTTGTCTCACACAGATTTGTGTGGGCACTACTGTGTATGGTAGTTTAGTATGTGAATAATAAACTTGAATTTTGTAGAAGTTTGAAATACTCAGTATCTGTCACTTTCACATAAGGGAAGGGAATTACTAGAGCTTTGCTTAGGGATTTATTTTAACTAAGCCTATGTGCATCAGTGAAGGGTCTCCATTTAAGTATAAGAAATATGATAAATGGAATATTTGGATCTAACTACAGTTTATGTCATACATCACACAATAAGATTTCTACATTTAAACCAGTATGGTATGCATAATATAAAATCTATTCAGCTTAAAGTGTTTAACAATACAAATTTGCATTTAATAAAACAGCAACTTCTGGATATAGCCTATTAGTGCCAATAAGTTGTGAAACATATTTTCCTCTAAATTTTACATCTTGATTCAGACATAGTAGAAAGTGGAACATGTCTATAATTCCAGCACATCAGATGTAGAGGTTGGAGAATCAATGATTCTATTTTCCTTGACATCATAGAGAATTTGAGGTCAGTTTGGATTGCATAAAACTCTGTCTTAAAAATATAATTAATTAATCAATAAAATTATCTGTATCTTGCTTTTTATCATTCTGCTGTGCCTTATTATAGTCCATGATATTGCTTTCTATCAATATGTCAAACTAATTCCAGTGTAAGGACTTTCTCCTACTGTCCCTCTGACTAAAGATTTTTTTCAACACAATGTTTTTAGAACTAGTTTCTTCTTTTTCTTCAGTGCTATTAGACACTTGCTCAAAGCTGTATGCTGTAGTGTGATGACTTTGTATCATTATTTCATAGTTTAAACTTTCCCAATACTATTTTTGTCTATAAGTACTTTAGATAATCACCATGGAGACAAGGATATTTTTATTTTATATATTTCAGTATGACCAATGGTTAGTATTTAATTAATTACTAATTCATGTTATGGGAAATTAAAATAAACAAACTATAGCAAACACTATTGATAAAATTAATGGTAAAATATTTACAAAGAGTAATATGATATAGACATGAATTATACTGATACTTTATCCTCATTTGTATTTGTTTAAGTTAGGTGAAAATAAAGTCCCTAGCTATTTTTTTCAGTCATCCAGAATTGTTATGTGATGATAAATTTTGTCTTTCCATGTGTATATCTCAAATATCACATTTGTTCAAGTATAGTTAAGAATAGTTAAAAATAGTCATACAAAAATCTTAAATGTGCTAATTCAAACAGTTCATGGTTTAAAAATCTAATTAATAAATTTATAATTTGTCTATTGTGTGTTGGAAAAACTAATACTTGTTTTGACATTAAAGGATTCTAGATAAATTTACTTTTCTCTTTTATAAGCTTACTTTCCTTGGCACTTCACTCAACCTTTAAGTGGATTGTGAAGGAAACTTATAGATAATTGTAACATGTGGCATGTTCTTGAGATTCCTAGTACTAGTCATCCTTTGCATTTTATTCAAGAAACTAGGACTTTTGGTATGTAAGTATGAGGACTTACAAGGAATCAGAGGAGTTTGCATCTTCACAAACAATTTAGCACATTTAGAGCAATGAAAGTAACAGTATCACTGACAAGTTCCTTGGAAACCTCAGATTTTCTGTACATGCTATTTCAAATATTAAGAGACAGTCTTCATTTATACCATATTCATAATACCTGTTTTCCAGTACTATGATTAAAAATGCCAGAAAAACTCAATTTATGAGAAAGAAATATGTTTTTTGCATAGAGATTCATTGTCTACAGTCAATGGGTCTGCTGTTTTTATGAGTGGGGCTATGTTTCAAAGGAGAGCTATTTGCTTCTTGAAAGGTTGGAAGCATATGGAGAGAAATAAAAGATGCCTGACCATGCACATTTCACTCCAAGGGCATGCTCCAGTGCCTACATTTTCCTTAATCTCCATCTCTTATAGTACTACTGCCTCCCATTAGTAACACAAGTAAGTGAAGAGTCCTTGAGTATTTGAATGACATTTAAGACATCAACCTGTGCCTGACAATACCGGTTCTCTATTAATTTCATACAATATGAAAAGAAAATTATTTATAAAACAGCATATTATTAATTCTTAGAGAACTAAAAATACATCAAAACTATAATTCTTCCAAGTACTTCAGTGAGCTATATCCTCTGCCATCTACAAGTATTTGGGAGATTATTGTTTGGAACAAATGTGAATTATAAGTGAAAAGCTAGAAACCCTAAATTAGAAAAAAAAGAGAGAATGGTTCTACTCAGCATGGAGTAAATGAAATTCAGGGCAATCATGGGGACACCCTAGGAAACAAGAAAAAAGCAAAGAAAGTATCACTAAGAGATGTAAGCTAAAACTCCATATCTACAGAGGAGGCTAAACTTGTGATACAAAGCATCAGTTCTTATTAATAAGCTTTGAGAAAAACCTTAAAGGATTTGTTATATAAATATGTGTGCGTGTGTATGTATCATATATATGTATAGAAATGTATGATATTTATGTTATATAATGCAAATGTAAAGTAACTAAAATGAAATTAATTTGCATGTTGATAAGCAAGATGTAAGTTTAACATTTTAGTAACCATTAGTAAGTACAGCATCCACCAAAGTACTGGGGTGGTGATCTTAGTGGTTTGGGACACCTGCCATTTCCAGAACACCCAGGTATCACCTCTTGTAGGCACCATGAAAATCTCAATTGCCTCTAACTCTTTCTCCAGGGTAATTGATGCCATGTTTTGTCCCCCACACTTACACATGTGATACATTCTCCTTGATTCTCTAACTCTCTTTTCCAATACCTATGTCATGATAAATCTTTCTACCACCTGATTGAGTTCTGCTTTCTGCCTTAGGGCCCCAAATAATATACAGAGACTTCTATTAGGTACAAAGGCTACTTGGCCAATGGCTAGGATTTCTCACCTGTTAGCTCAGTCTTAACTATCATAAATCTGTATATTTTATAAGACTTACCTTATTTAGGATGCCTTCTTTTGGCATCCCGGGATCACATGGTGACTCTGGAGGAAGAGAGAAGGGTCCACTCCCTTCTTGCCCTTGTTTATATATGAGTCTCCCTGCTATGTCACTTCCTGTGGATCACTACTTCTTTACTACATTTCCCAGAATCCTCCTTGACTCCTAGTCCCTCCTAACTTGCTGCTTCATTGGCCAAACAGTACTTAATTTATCATCCAATAAGACAGACACATACACAGAAGCACTTCCCCAATCACACATAAATAAGAATAAAATCAATCTTAAAATTTAACTGGGGAAAATCTAAAATGTACATAAATTTAGAAATTATGAAGACACAGAAATAATTTTAATAGTTATATCACTATATGTTTATGAGATATTTAAAAAGAAATGCATTACAAAGTTCTGCCCAATTAATTAGTTTGCCAATAATTGGTTAAAAGATGGAGCTAATTCAAATAACATGAAAATGAAAGATGAAATTAAGTATATGAGAAAAATTCAGTGACACATAAATTAATTTACCAAAAAATAATGCCAAAAAATGTCAATATAGATGAAATATTTGTTACTTATTCCTATCTGACCTTGACTCATGGTAATTTAGCAAATAAAATATGCTTAGTGAAAATTCCATGCATTGTGGTGTGTTTGGTAGAGTTTAGTTATTTTTCTCTAAACTTTCAGTTACAGACTAAGATATTTTTTACCTCCAAAACAACAGAAATGCAGAAAAGATGGCTGAGCAGGTAGGAACACCTGGTGTTGTTTCAGTAGTATCTCCAAAACCATGAGACCTGATGTCCTCTTTGTGTATGCCAGCATACACATGGCATATATTTACACACAGAGACATGCACACAGTCACACACACACAAGGAAATATTAAACTGTAGGATAACAAGAAAGCTTTTATTACATCCTTGATCAGATTTAGTAGCAGAGAGACTTTTACCTCTGAAAAATGATACAATTTTCAAAGTGCAGCATTATCTAAACTTATTTTCCATAAATAGCCTACATTGTGTAAAAATATAAATATGAAACAAGCATCATTCAATAACTTACAGCATATATGCAACAGAGAAATTCATTGCTGTAGTTGCAAGTATAATATACATATAATATGAAATACTTTTTTCTTCAAGGATTATTAATAAATAAAGAGATGAAAAAATCCTCTTGGCTATTTCAAACCATTTTTTAGAATACTGACAATTGTAAGCTGAATGGATAGAAAATGTTTTCCAATACTTTACAGAAATCATCTAATACATTTGAGCTTAGAAACAGGTAAAGAAATCATACTAAAATTATTTCAAAATACTAATTTTAATGTAAAAATCTTCTTTATTGTATTATAATTTAAAATTTAATTAAAACATCACCCTATAAAATTACATGTGCACACATTTTAATTATTGTGTCAACGATTTTTTTATATTCTCACATAGGCTGTTGCACATTTAGAGACAATAAGGGTCACTGAATAAAAAAAGAAATGAAAACACAATTTTTTTTCACATGAAGGCTACTATTTGAGAAGATTTGTATGGTCCATTGGTTGCTGTCTTCCTAAATCCACTGTGTCAGAGTTGGAATTCTTAATCTTCTGCTGTAAACAAGACTCAAGATGCTGGTCTCATGAGACTTAGTAATATACCTATAAATAGCATTTCTTTAAGTCTTTCTTCATGATTCCATAGTACCTGACAGTCTATTGGAATACACCTTTGTTTAAATAATAGCCATCATAGTAACACAGCAAAAAGTTTAACATCTGTGTGTTTGGGTGTGAAGTTTCAAAGGTATCTGATGTGATTTCCTTCTTAAAGATGGGAGCTCAAAACAAGGCCTATGTCCTGTTTACGAAAGTAACATTTGGAGTAAAGCAGAGTAAAGAGAGTTCAGTTAGAACATTTCAGAATTAGGACATGTGGAGGAAGAATGAAAGAAGAGGAGGGTTGGAGAGGATTAGGGAGTGCACATGGAGACAGAGAGGGTCAGAGAGGGATAGGGAAGAAAAGACTGGAGGTAGGGAGGGGTCATGAGAAAGGAAGGGTGAGTAAGGGAGGAGGCACTAAAGAGTCCATTTGAGAATCAGAGTCTGATGGGGATGTCCTTCTATATGTATGTTTCTCTTATTGGTTGATTGAGTAAAACTTTGATTGGCCAGCAGATGGGCAGGTAGTATAGATGGGGCTACTAGAGGATGAGAATCTGGAGGAGAGGAAAGCAGACAGAGAGAAGCAACCAGAGAGACACTGAGCTACCAGGAAGATAGGATGTGCTGGGCATTCGCTGGTAAGATATGGCCATGTAGAAATACACAGATTGATAGTTATGGTTTAATAATTAAGAAAGAGCTAGCTAGTAAGAAGCCTAAGACATCAGCCAAATAATTTATAATTAATATAATTGTTCATGTGTTTATTTCGGGCTAATCAGCTGTTGGAACAGGTGGGACAGAAACTCTATCTACAAGAGAAATAAAGATTTTCTTATGTTAGTGCTCCAGTGAGTAGGGGGAATCTCCAGCAAGTGTCATCAAGAGCAGGCCCACAGAATGAGGGACTATTAGACTGCAAGCCTTGAACACTGACTCCATGGGAGGGGGCAACCGGAAAAAAAAAGCCAATCTCTACTAGAATTCTCATGCAATTGAAGGTTGAACAAAATAGCTCAGCATGACTGTATCTGACTCTGTTCATAAGAAAGCCATAGCATTTACTTAAAGAAAAAGAGCTATGCTACTTTATTTATATATTGAGTTTCTGGAATACTTTACGAGATCAAGTAAAAGTGTAATCAGTAGAAGGAGTATTACCCATATAAACTTTGAAGCATTTTAATCACTTTCCAGAGGCAACAATGAAGGCTTAAAAACATCAAGTGGTTAACTTACCTCTACAGTAACAAAGGGGATTAGTGTTCTTCCTATATTCAAGAGATGGCTCAACAATTACAATAAAAAAAATAAACCCCTACTGCAGAGGAAAGGGATACATGGATGAGGTAAACTTGATAGATTTGTAACTGTGTCACCAAAACTGAACAACTAAATTGTCATCATAATGGATGGAGATATGGCCCCCCAGTTAGAACTTCTTGCTTCTATTTCAGAGCACCAGTGTTTAACTGAAATTAAATTCAGTGCTCCTACTCACTATCACTCCAGCACCAGTGCATCCCTTGCTGTTGTCTATCCTCCATAGTATATACATGTATGTGTGTTTTCTCACACAACACACATGCAGAAACATGTATAAAAATGAAATATTACCTTTACAAGTTAGTTGGAATCCAGTTCACATCCCATTTATAAATGCACATTTATATCACCAAAAGTATATATTCTTAAATGAAACTTACATTTGTAACAGGTCTGTAGATTCACTGGATATCTCCAAACTGAAAATAACAGCAGCTATTAGGTAAATTATTAATAGTTTTCATTAAAAGGGATTTTTCTTGGCTTGAGGTAAATATTCACTACAGACTTCTAGATAAAACCTCATCAGAGTTTTTATAATTTTTGTTGCATAATGATCCAGTTTTCATATTTTATTTACATGCTGCTTCTACCAGTTAAAAAAACTGACCATCATTTGAGCTTACTTATAAGTCTGTATAGTAAGACAGGGGCCCTTTCAAGTCCTGATTCCCTTTGCATAAGCTCTACTGCTCAACATATTTCAGAATTCTTCACCAGACATATTTCTTTACTTTTTCTAATCATTATAAAACTTCTAGAACACATTTAATGAATATTAATGAACCAAAGGAGGGATATTTTAAGTTATTATCCATTTAATTATCTATGAGAAGCCAATGAGTCTCATGCAATAAATATTACCCATTTTATTTTAAAGTTAAATGTGTAAAAGTACAAGTTTAAAAGCAAGCATAATAATTTAAAGAATGGAAAGCATGTATTTTTCTTTATGAAGAGTTACTTTATGATCACAGAGTTATAATTAAATTAAATATTCAACAATCTTCATTCCATCCAAAGGCAGGTTAAAATATTTACAAGGCTTCCTGAATATGTGTTTCATTTACTTCAGACTTCTGCTTTTTGGATTGTTACTGTCTCTGAAGGCAGAATCTTAAAGAATGGAAATTGCTGCCAGTTTAAAAAAAAAGAGTTTACACAGCTTTGACCTAACATGATGGACTGAAGGGATGGCGATGAAAACTGTAATCTTAATAAATCTCCCACAGCTAGAGGTTTAAAACTCATACTGTTTCAAATTAGTGAGGACAGCAATATTTATTTGCTGCTGAATTCCAGTCAGCATGGCATTTCAGCAGGAAGCACTTTATAAGACTTAAACTTATGAGTAGCAAAGTTGAAAACTCATGTTGAGGTAGAGGAACAGAAATTAAGCACAGTCAGTGACACATTTTAAATAAAAAAGCAACAAAGCAAACCTTATCATTTCCATTTCTTCATCTTTCCTCACTACCCCTGGCTTTTCATAGAAAATTAGTGTGAAACCCTAGCTTTGACAATGAGGTTTATACATATCCCAAGATCTTTCTAATGTATCATCTCATTGGAATTCCTTAAGACTAGTTATAAAAATGTTATTGTGCACTGAGGAAGAAGGAGATAAAGTAGAATTACCAGTTGTTCAATATCTTATGTTCATGTTAGTATTGATAAGATGTTATCAGATAAATTTATTAGAAGACTTGGACCAGGTTAGAAATTCAATTTGGCATAGCTCAGAGAGTCTACCACAAGTTTTCACAGCCATGGAAACTCTGTAATAAGAAGGGAAATGTCGGAAACGTAAGGGAGGATAGAAACTATTAAGAAAGTGTCATTCAGTAGACTCTTCTACTTTCACCTACATTTGCTCATTTATTTCCTTGGGAAACAGAAAACCATCTCTAGGATTCCTGCACTCTCAATGGACTCTTGTTTCAGACACTTATACGTCATTTTTTTCCACATAAAGATCCCCTAGAATCATACTTCCAGTGTTTTTCCAACTAGACTCAAGTCTGTTTGACATCGGATAATCCTATGGATTTTCACAGG